ATTTATCATATGATTACACTCTGAAAGTTTCATTAAGATCTTATGTCTACAAAAGAAATTATTCAACAAATAAATTCTCATAATATTGCCCACACTGCAGTGCAGCCCAAGCGCAGTCGCTGCTTACTGCGCAGTTAGCAGAGCGCAGGCTTATGCGTGCGTGTGGTTGCATGTGTATGTATGTGTGCATAGAAGAAGTGCAGAATGATTAGAATATCAGCTTAGAGGGTTCAGGGTATCTCCTAGTCGAGCAGTCTCGACTAGAGCCTTCTTACTTGTTTGTCTTTGGCCTTGGCTTTTTACCGGCTGCTGCAGCTGCTGCATCGACGACATGCAGTCAGTGCACGTTTCGAATTTTGGGCAACAATTGTTGAAACATGTTGTCATCCAGTTAGTTAGTTGCCATGTTTGTCATTTTGTTTTCTCTGCTCTCTGTGCCCTCTCTCTCTCTCTCTCTCTCTGTCAGTCTCTCTTAACTGCCTTTATTGAGCTTAGTTTTCCGTCACGAATTAAGTGCGAACTGGCGCAGTTAGCGAAAAACTTTAGCAGGCAAAATGTGTGTCACGTAGTCCAAGCTACAAATTGGAATTTATAATGCAAGTAAAATGCTCGAAATGATTTATTATACGATTAAAGCAAATGCACAGCTCGCGTGTGGGCCAGGACCCTAAAGTATTGAAGTCAAAGCAATGAAGCTTAAAATGAAATTTATTTAACTGTTGTTGGTTAATTCTTGTTGGTAATGATTCTTCAAATGGTAGGGACGGACAGACGGACATGGCTCGATCAACTCAGCTCGTTGCCTTGATCAAGAATAAATATAAACTTCATAGAACGTGGCACGGCTCCTTCTGATTGTTCACACATTGGCACATAAACATAACCTGATTTTTTATTATTAGTGATTATTAGGTATTAAAAGGTGGCTGATATGCTAAGCATATCTTATAAATAAATACATGTTTGTATACTACTCTAATTAAGATATTCCATAGAACGACTATTTGGACACATTGAGCATTGCATAGCTCTCATTGCAACCTGGCATAAATCAAGCAGTCCAAAGTAAACATCCGCTCAAATGCTAAACTGGCTGAACGTGCTGGGCATTTGGAGCAAATGAAACGCAGCGAAAGTTCATAAATCAAAGGCAAATAAACACTTTTTGGCTAGAAGCGACTTCAATATTTCAAATCGTGAGCGTTGCAACAGCCAACAGGATGAATTTTCACGTTTCGCACGCGAAAAAATGCGCCGGCAATTGCATTTGCGATTGCAGTTCTGGCTAGAGTCATGGAGCCAGCGGCATGGCCCAGTGCAAGTGCTAACAGCAGGCTTTAAACTTAATGAAAATGAACTTGTGCCATGCATTTTGGGTCGTGTCATGGCCACCTGCCACACGCCGCCTCAATGTTGCATTGGCTCACGCGATTCTATGGCTTGGCCCGCTGCCGCCATAAATTTAATGTTGGCAACCAGTTTTTGGTTTTGTTTGACGCACGGCTAACAGCTAGCAGCTAACAGGTAATTGCAGTTTGCGGCGCAATATTGCAAAACTCGGAAACGGCAGTAAATGTGGAAGGCAACAAGCCGAAAAGCTGCAATCAAATACCCTGTAGATGGTGCGAATAAAGGTTGCAGGGGCTTCTCTTATTCCCTGTGAAATGATTGTTGATTTAGCTCTCATTTAGAATATGTTATAAGCTTTTAAAGCTCATTAAAGTTAGGGTCCGATAATTAATCAAGGAAAATAAAAGTGGATTTTTAAATAACTTTTGAAGCTTTGAAGCTTCGGTGGTAGTCGATGTTGGACGTTGAAGTAGAAAGGAGACTCTTAAAGTAGCTTTCAAAGCTCTTTAAAGTTGTGCACAGTCAATCAAAGACTTGCACTACACAATTAAGCAGATCAGTATACATTAAGCAACTTTTAAGTTAGTTGTTAAGCTTTATTTTAAGTGAGAATAAGAATGGGATGATTTTTTTTTTTTTTTTCGATTTTCATGCGCTTAGAAAATTCCACGAATTTGAAAGTATATATCAAATAAGAGCAGTCAACCAAAAACTAACAACACAATCAAGAGTTAGTTTAATAAATTGCAAACAACTTTTGCAGCATTTAGGCTTCAGTCAAAAGACTGCGAATACTTCCAAATGAAAGCTTAATTGTAGTGTAGACTTTTAAAACTAAAGCCTTAGTACATTTAATTGCACAGTATTTCTGCTACAGTAAATATTCATATTTTTATTGATTTCTTTGGTCACAAATCGGCCCCACAGTACCAAATATCGTTTATAGGGTATAATTATGCACTCAATTTAATTACGTTGGCAAATGGCGTGACTTTGACTCGTGCACGGGAATTGCTCACTGGCTTTTATGGGGCCACAAGTCGATGCTTATTAAAACTTCACACTTTCAAGCACTCGTGCCACGCCTCCCCGCAAATGGGGCGCTGTTTTAGTTAACTGCTCCCAGGCGCCATTATTGCCTTACTTATTGGTATTTGCAACTAGCGGGCAGGCAGGCAGACAGGCAGGCAGGTAGCTGAAAACTGTTAAGTGAAAACTTCTAGACTCTCGTGTTCGATGAGCAGAGGGGCGCAACAATTTACAAGTCCGGGTGTGGCTAATTGAACTTGTTGATGATGGCGGAAAATTGTTGCCACAAGACGCCATCCGAAAGCTTTCACTTTGCGTTTACAAACTGCACAAAGACACACTCACACATGCATGCACATATACATACATGTGTACATATGTGTATGTCTGTTTCGCTAATTGATGTCAAATGCGATTTCAAGCATGCGAAGAAACTCATGTAAGTTATTTTTCTTTCTGCGGCACAAGATTAGGAAATGAGCTGCTGCTGCTGGCAATAAAGCACTTGAAATGCTCATGCAATTTTCAAGGGCTTTTCCTGATACAAGATTTGCTTTGAAATGCATAACTGATTCCATTACGAACAAGTTTTTAAATGAAACTAATTTATTCGCTGTAGAGAGTAATGTAATAAAATAAATCTAGATAACTAACAGCTGATTTAGATAGATGCTTTAAATCTACTGGATTCAAGCTGAAAACATTAGGATATATATATTTATTATTATATTTATTATTTTCTAAGTAATTATATAATTCTTTGATTTCATTTGTTTATTTTGAGGATATTTGGTTTCTCAATTTCATTTCATCACAATTGTTATAAATTTAATTTTTTATAATTTGACTAATTTAATGGGATGATAAGACTTTTTGATATTGGTAAATTATTTTAAAATTTGTATAATAATTAATAATAATAATAATTATAAATTTTTTTATTATTATAAATATGTTTGTTATTATTATTATTTTATGTTTATTTATTTTTTTATTATGATTATTCTTAAATTATTATTATTATTATTATATTTATTTTTTTTTTAAATGCCAGTATGCTAAAAAATTTAATAAATAAATAATTAATTACGTTTGTATATCTCCTTTTTAAGATATACTCTGCCTAGAAACCATGCACTTCCTTTATCGTAGCGCTTACTACTCGAGCTCCACTTTAAAACTTATTAAGCAATCCAAAATTCGAAAGATCATCCCTATACTTGCACACACAAAGTGGCATTAAAGGAGATGCTACTCACGGATATTTTGACTCATTTCACACCAAGTAGGCCAAGTAGATAGAAACGATTGGCGTGCAGCAGTAGAACATATTTCAAAAGAGAAGAATATTGCAGCGATGCATGAGCATGAACATGATGAATCATGTTCTCTTTGAAATAACTATAAAATCACGACAATGCTAAGAAGCGACTCGTCACATGATTTTCACTGCACTAGAAGATTATCATATGCAGTTGTGATTGGTGTTCTCTAATTAATCTTCAATTCATGAATGTTTAATGTGTATCGAAAAAATATCGGATATACAAATTTATTACCTATGTATAAATATATTTTTTGCGAAATAGTGCATACTAAATAAAGTTCCTTAGCAGATTAATAATTTTTTTCTTAAAATATCCCTATAAAGATTCCACAATGAAGCCAACGTCAAAGTCTCCGTAAATAATCAGCAAAATAAAGCTGTAGTACTTTGCCATAGTAGCCAGCAGCCTTGAGCTACTACCAAACGCAGTGCTCAACAGGCTTGTCGCCAATGGCATTAATATCAAGTAAGCCATTTAAAAAAGAAAAAATTAAAAAAGAAAAGAAAATATGACGCACAAAATTGGGCTTAAGGAATCAATAATGACCAATTAGAAGCGACGACTGAAATGGGAGCAGCAGGCCGTTGCATGGCAAAAATAATTAACGCATCAGCATGAGCAGCAGCAGAAGCCGGCAGTATCAACAGAGGGCTAGGAAGCCCGACGAGAGCAGAAGCTGTTGCTGAAGCGCTGCTTCAGGTGAATAGTGGTCCATAATTGATTTTTTTTTCCATTTTTTGTCTCTCTCCGTCTAGTTGAAAGATGTGCAAAGCAAAAGCTGAAGCAAAGATAGCTTCAGACGATTGCAAAGGTTGCCAGGACAACGACTAAGCGGCAATTAAAAAAAAAAAAAAAAAAAAAAGGTGAAAATGATTGAAAGAGAAGTGAAACAAAGCAAGAGAAGCTAAACGACAGGCTAATACTCTGAGAGACGAAAATACGAAAATATTGCAACTGTATGAAAAAAGAGTTAATGGAAAAGTGCTGAAAGAAGATATTGTCTGAGGTATAAGAAGAGCTATCAGATCAATAATTATACGAGCTAATGAGTAGAACACAATAAAAGTAATAAAATAATGAAAGTCACTGCACCGCCAGCAAAATATGGAAAATTCCTAAAGAGCCTGAAAAGCCGGGCAGCTAACTTATGCGACCTACTGTCGAGCAGTGTTTGATAAGTTAGCTGGCCAATTAAAGCTTAAAGAGCCAGCGACAAAGACGTCGGAAGGCGAATGGCGGATGGCGAATGGCGGATGGCAGGTGAGCAAAGGTGGGCATATATTTTGCACTTACCTGCGCTGATATGCGCCCCTTCTTCAGACGCGTGAGATCCGTGTGGCTCCAGTGGCTGCGCGCCCAGGGCACCACGTTGCGCAAGTCCTCATCAAAGCTGGGAAAAATTGCAAAAAAAAAAAAAAGGGAGAGAAGTGATGGAAAAATTATAAAAGACGTTCGTTAAAAAATATATGAAAAATTAATTGCATCTGCGTATTGCTCACTTGAAGTCGTTGAGTCTGTTGTGGAGGAACTTGCGTATATTCCAGGGTAAGTCATTATGCCCATCGATTAAAGGCACTTGATCCAGGAGCTGTACGGCAACACGCAAACGCTCCTCAAAGGGCGCACCTGTTAAGGGGAAAAAAGAGATAGTGAGAGAGAGATAGAGATAGAGAGAGAAGGTAAAAAGTGAATGTGTGGCCTATAAAACCAAGTTAGCAGCAGCTACTAACTAACTTGAACGCATTAACACGACACAAAGGCAACACACACGCACGCACACATGCATAACGCCTCTTGACACTTTGAGCTTTGGCTACGTGTCGTATGCGTTATGGTAATTGATTTATTGTCCGGTATCTGAAAGCGGAAATAAGGTCTACACAGTCTGCACACTACTCACTTGCAGCAACACGTAGCGCCAGGGGCACTGCCACACTGGCAGCGCCAATTATCAAGAGTATCGAGCTGACTGCTAGCCAATGCTTGGCCGCATCGAAGCCTGGCCAATGTTACGTATACGCAACGAATTGCCAGTAAGCAGGAGCAGCAGCAACAGCAGCAGCAACAGCATCCGCATTCATGATGATGACCCAGGGACAGCGATTCATGACGTTGTTGTTGTTGTCATCCATGTTGTAGTTGTTGTTGTTATTGGTAGTTCAATGCCAAGTCGATTGTAGTGCCGTAGAGAACAACGGCGTCGTCGTCGTCGTCGTCATCATCGTTGTTGTTGTTGTTGGTTGTTTTGTGTTGCATTTTGTGTGTGTGCAAATTGCCGTGACAGTGGCATTGATTACACCAACAACAACAGTTGTTGTTGTTGCAGTTGTTTTTATTTTCCCCATCATTGTGTAGATATACCAGCGCAGCAGCATCAGCATCAGTGGAAGAAAGTGTAATAAGGAAATATGGTTAGTTAAACGTTTAAAATTGAATTGCTTAGTTGGTTTTACTTGACAAAAGACGAACAATTTCTATCTTAACTGACTCAACTGAGTTAAGCATTTCATGTATTGGCTCTCTTATTATGCAATTCGAAGCACAATGCACAATGAGTTATTATGTCGCATCAATATAGAAGTGAGTAGAAATTAAATAAGGCAATTGCTTAAGCTGATTATGTGTGACAGTTGAAAACATGAAAGTCAATTATAGAGTAAATTATACTCTTATGATACGCCAATGACAATGGAAAGTTACTTAGAAAGTTTTTGGGTCACTTTTTGCGCACAGTAGTTGGAAGGAAGCTTGGCTTTAATCTGCAGTGTAAACTTGTAATTTCTGAGCAGAAAAGTCTTTAAAAGTAACAAAGAGCTATACAGCAATAGAGTGTGTGGATGCTTTCTTATAAGAAGACTTCTATCAACTAACAAGACCAATTAGCTAACTAGTAGCTCGATATGAAGGTTTGCTGATGATAGAGCCGAAGAAAGTTCAGTTTGTGTATATTTATTTATATATTTTATTATTTTGTTTTTGAAGTACAAATAATTTAAGCTTAAAGTTTAATTTGACCTATTTGAGTTCAATTTTTAGATATTTCTAATAAATTTTTTTTAAATATAAAAATTTAATTTATTGTAACTTATTTAAAAAAAATTTAAATTACTCAAATTACGTCCATATATTTAGCGTATATAAAATGGAAGGAAAATGCTATAAAATATTAAAAATAAAAAAGAAATAAAAAAAAAAAATATGTAACCTAAGTCTTTATTTGAACTCATATAAAATAATATAATATATAATATTGTTCACAAATTGTATAGAATTTCCAGCAAAACTCATTTAAAATCTAAATAAATTCAATCTGAACCTTAATTTATATAATTGCTTGAAATTTCATAGAATTCTGATAACTCAAATTCAGATGTTTCACCCTAATCCAATATCCTCCTCTATTTTTTTCAGTTGAAGCTTTGAAAGCATTTGTATCAATAATAGCATCAAATCGATTTTAATTGCAAGCCAAATTTGATTATACAACTGAGTCGCTTGACCAGGAGCTGGGGCTAGTGGAAAGCAGCTAAGCAAATAATGTCAAGTGAGGCGTAAAACTAGCTCAGTTTTTGCATGTTAAGCAATCCGCTTGATTATGGAAAGAGCTCGAGCACTCGCAGGGACTGCTCGATGGCTGGACCTGACTCCAAAGTGAATTACCGATAAGCAAGCTTCAAATGGAAAGCATGTGCCGCAGTTGTCTGACAAATGCTGCTGCTGCGGCTGCGGCTGCCTCTGCCATTGCGACTGCCTCTGCTACTGCGGCTGCTGTTAAAGTGGTCGGAGTAGTGGTGGGCGGCATTGCAGGCATCAGCGATTTGCATAAATTTAACATGGACAGGACATCCTACGCCACGCAGTTTTTGGTGGGCGTCGAGCACTGAACTAACGAGCTGCAGCAGCAACAGCAGCGGCATCATCATTCCCGGCCTTTGGAGTGATGAGCACTTGATGAGTACGACAAAGTCACGCGGGCATTGGCAACGTTTAACATTAAGCGCCCATGTTACATGGGGCGCAATCAAACGGCTAACGACTAAATAGAATTGCGTGTGCCTCCCAAGAGGGGCGGCTGGCCAAAGGCACAGGTCGATGCTGGACCCGACAAGTGCACGGCCAGGTAACAGCAAACCAGGGATGCGCACACTGACCGAACTAATACAGTGAGTAGTGAGCTTATAGCTTAGTGCCATGAAATGGGTGTACCATCTGCTGTAATTAACTGAATCTCGAAGCTCTCAGTGAAAAAAAGTGTAATTTAACAGATGCGAATGATCATAAATTATGTGTACTTTCTTTAATTTATAACTGAATTAAGCAGGAAAGAAAATTTGTTAAAAACATTTGTGATTTACAAAATATAAGTTAAATATATATATTTGCATGTCAATAAAAATATCTATATTCAAATAAAAAAGAAATACAAATAATAATAATAATATAAAATACTTAAACATAAAAAATATATAACAGACAACTTATTTAATAAATCAGTATAATAGTAGTTAATATAATAAACAGAAATATAAAAAATTTTGTAAATAAAAATATATTTAATCTTTAATAGGAATTTAAAAAATTATTAAAAAATGTCTGGAATCATAGAAAAAAATAGGAATAATAATAATTTAAATATTTTTAATTTGAAAAAATAAAATAGAAAACTAAATAAATTTATGTACATTGTAAATATATTTATATATATAATTTAACAAGTACCTAAAAAAAAAAACAAATTTAGATTCCGAAATATTTATAGATATAGCTAATTTAAAAAAAAAAAATATTATACTGAATAAAAAATGATTTATTTTAATTATTTACGGTAAGGTTTTACAAACTCGAAATTTTTGTGAACTTACGGAATGAGTTAGTGCCCGAACTGGATGAGCCGCGACTGGGGCACTGTCGATGCTTCCAGGGCATGATGCTCGTGACGCTCGAGTGCAGCTGATGATGTTTCTGTGGCGTGGCCGGAATGCCGGCACTTGCGCCAACGGCCGCATGATGCAGCAGGGAATGGGCCACATCGTGTGCATGATAATGATGCGAATGGCCATGTGGATGTGAGTGGGCGTGGGCTGGCAAATGTGACTGCGTGTCGCGCTCTTTGAGTATGCCGTTGCTGTTGGCGCTATCGAAGGAGTTCATTGTGAAATTGGAGGAGGCCAGCGCCGATGATTGTTGCATTTTCTGATACGGCACACGGCAGCCGCCATCAATGTCCACCAAATTGCCAAAGCTGCGACTGTTCATGGGCAGCGTCCAGTCCATGCTGCTGGTGTGAAATATATGTGCTGCCGGCTCTGTCAGCTGCTGCAGAATGCCCAGGTTCGGCTTGGAGTCTGGTTGCTGTTGTTGTGCTTGATGTTGCTGTTGTTGCTGTTGCTGCTGCTGTTGGTTGATTGGAAAGTTGAGCAGCGATTGGGAGAAGCAGCGACAGCGCTGCTGCTGAAAGTGAGCCAATTGCTGCTGCTGATGCTGCTTCTGCAGGTAGCGGCTATAGTGGGCCAAGTGTCTAGCATAATCGCTGCTCGGCCCGATTGTATTGTATTTGTTGGGTGCGGCAGCAATAGTTGCTGCTGTGCTGCCTGTTGTTCCAGCTGCTGTTGGTGCGGCTGCGGCTGGCACAAAACATAAACTTGGATCAGATTTCTGGGAGTGCGGCGTAAAGATGTTGTCCTCCTCGTGTGCGGCAAAGGGCGGGTGCTTGGGCTTGTGTGACTTCTTAAGGCTGTGGGCGTGGCTATTGCCATTGCACAGATCCGGCTTGACATTTATATTGCTGCTGGCGCTGCTGTTGCTATTGCCGCTGTTGGTGCACTTCAGCAATGTCGCTGCACAATCATCGAGCGCCGTCTTGGTGCAGTCCTCTAGCAGATCGCTGCTGCACAGCTGAGCCATGCCCATTGCCAAATTGTTGTTGCTCTTGTTGACAGCTAATGGCAACAATTGTTGCTGCTGCTGCTGTTGTTGTTGCAGCTGCTGCAGCAGACGCAGGCTGCGCATGCTGCCGTTCCGTTTGAGCGCAGGCGGCGGCGGCACTGGCGGTATGATGTCCACATCCGAAAAGCTGGGCGTGTCGCTTAGCTGCAAGATGGTGAAGAAGAACAAGAACAAGAACAAGGCGTTAAATAAATTGAAAATTTACAGCTATCACAAAAGCGGAAATTGCATTAACTCAATTGACATGGTAAACTTCCGGCCAAGAGCAAAGCGCCGAGAGTTGGCCGCATGCTTAAGGGACAGTTTACTAAGCCATATTGCAGGCATTGTAAGCCATTTTATTTTGAAGAGCATGATGTAAATGATGTAAAATTAATGTAAAATTAAATATTTAACCCTTTGCATTTGGCTCTCCCATATTCATGCGATGTCCCAACATAACAGTTTGCTCTCTTTATATATAGCCCCTCAGTTGCCCAAACTTCTCTCCCCTCAATAGATATTAACCTGGAATATTGATGCTCAAAGAGTTTTCAATATATTCTAATGCGGCGGCTCAATGCGTGCTACACTCTAGCAAATTGGTGAAATTGTATAGAAACCGATTTTTTGCTTGAGGGCCAGCACATGCGTTTGCAACTGCCCAACGGCTACATGAAATTTAATTATGCCATAGACAGAGAAGAACACATACACACACACACACACACTGTGAGAGGGCGTGTGAAAAGAGCAAGAAAAAAAGGTTTATTTGAGTTAAAGGGACTCTTCTCTTTACCCCTGGCTATGGCTATTGCCCAGCTTCCAGTTGGCCATCTAAGTGCGCAGTGCGTGGTGTTGGTGTCCTAATTGAATTTGTTACGGTCAGGTCATGGCGTCATCATCAACATCATCATGATCATCATCATCATCTTATTATTATTATTATCGTTGAGCATGAAACACCGACGCTCCGGGGATTTGAAATTGAATTCAGTTACGGGAAATACATTTGCATTGATTTGCTTTTTATTTTTATACGTCTGGCCGAAACGAAACGCATTGACATTAATAAAAATTTCCTTTGAATTTTGATTGCTTTATGTTGGGGCTCTCGGCAGGCCTACGCCTCCTCCCCCCGCTGCGCTGCCTGCCAATCTGTTTGGCCCTTCGCTTCTCGTTATTATTGTTGTCGCCTGTCGTGTTCCTGTTGATTATTTTTATTATTTACTTAGTCTTGTCCAGTCCTGCCACTGCCAGTCCCCTGCCAGTCCCCTGCCAGTCCCCTGCCAGTCCCTTGTCTGTCCCCAGCTTGTCGCCGCTCAGCTCAGTTCAGCTCATGAACGAGCGTGTCCGCTGCTTAAGTGGAAATTGAAAATTTTCATATTTTCATTACACGATGCTGGTAATTTCCTACGCCTGTCGCCGTCGAAAAAAACTTAAATAATTTATGCAAATATTCTGCGGTGGCATCTCTTGCATATTTTGCCTGTCCAACGGGCTGACCAAATTTTCATGAAGCAACGCGCTGATTTTATGCTCTTCAAGTTTTTTTTTTATGCTTCCCGAAAAGTTTCTAATAGCCAATTAAGTCTAAGAGGAAGGTTTTTTTTTCTTTGATTTCAAATAACGAATATATAAATATTTAGTGAGGTGGTAGGTTCAGCAAAGATAAGACTTAATTTTTAATCTAATATTTCCATATGCATGGCCCTAACTTTGAGACTCCTAAATTGACTTTACATTGTTATGGATTGATGGATCAAATAAGCAATGTGGTAGACTCTGCAGGAGGCGTGCACTTTGCTGGTTCTTTTTTACTCTGAATAATTCTTCAGCAATCTTAGTTATTGGAATTGCATATATCTATAAAGAATGATTATTATTATTTATATATAAAAAATAAATAAAGAAATAAAAATATAAATAAATATTTAAAACAAATATATATTTATATATTAAGAAATAAATAAATATAAAAAAAAAATAATAATAATAATAATAAGACATATATACAGAATCGGGCCTTTTGAAACTTATTTAGCTGCTTAAAAAAATCTTAGCTAATATCCAATGAAATTAAGTTGAAAATGCCGTACAAGTGCTATAATTTTTTGTTCGTACATTAATTAGTCAGCAACTAGAAAAAATACTACAAGAGGACAATATTTGCTCATCTTTCTTTTAGTCATTGTTTATTGTGCATAAGTTTCTCAAGCAGCTCCCAGTTGGGCTGGCGACCTCAACTTTGCAAAGTATATTTACTAATTAAAGGCTGAGAGACGGGTTCAGGTCCCAGGCATCATAAATATGCTTGCATATGCACTTTGAACTTCTTTTGCATCTTGCGCTTCTCTCTGATTTCTGCCCGTTGCGGCTGTTGTTGTTGCTGCTTTCGCTTCAAGTAGAAGCCATTCTAGCATGGATATGCATATGCATAACTCCCCCTGGGTGTGCTGGTTAACTGCGCCCCAAAGTATGCAACATTATGCAGCATGCTGTATATGCTTATTTGGCGTTTATGCCACAAATTGGACGCCATGTTTATGAGGATGGGCGGAGGAGGAAGCTGCGGCTGGCGGGCAGAGCTCGGCTATGAGTGGCACCGCAGGACTTGGCTAACCGCAGCTAGCTGCTTTTTTGAGCATTAAATTGCTTGATATATCGTTGCATAACTATATATATGTAAAAATGTACATATATCTTTTATTTTACATTCGCGACTTTTAGCTTAGCTTTCTCTTTGCTGACTTTCTGCGTGCGCTTTTCTTCTTTTGAATTATGCTCGTCTTTGTCTCGCCTTAAATTTCATAATGCACATTTTATAATCATTTTTCGTCTACTTTGCTGCAATTTCGTGCAATTTTTTACCATAATTTATGTAAGTATGTGTGAGTGTCTGTATGTGTGTGTGTGAGCATTCATCATTGTTTTTTTTTTTTTTGGTGCTGTTTCTCTTCAAGTTTCCCGCTACAGCAATGAACATTTTTCCAGCTCAGCTTTGCGAATATGCTCACAGTTGTCTGTGTGTGTGTGTGTGTGTGTTTGTTGGGTGTAATGTTGAGTTATGGCAGTTTTGTAGTTTGCACCAAACTTTTTTTATGCTCCGCTTTCGTAGCTGTTGCTCCGAGCAGATCCTTTTACATTTTAGTAGTTTTCTCCTTTTTATTCGAAATTTCTTTGGATTTCAGGGACTGGGCAATGTGCTCGTCTGACCGGGTATTTAGTTAAATGTTCGTAAAATTGAGTGTTGCTTCTATATCTACTATATATGTATATATTTGAAGTTTGTTACGCTTTGGCTCTTTAATCGATTTGCCAAAAGCAATAAGTAAGACGAAAACTTTTATAAATGCACAAGTTTGTTTTAGGTTTATTTCAATATTTTTTATCTTTCTTCGGAATGCTATGAGCTGGATACGTAATTACCCGACAGCCTCTTAACTTTACGACTTCATCAATGGATATTTGGAGATTTTATTTTTGTTTTTAGCGAACGTAATTATTTGAAATAACTTTGTTTAAGACACGCTCTTAACCAGACAATAAAATTGTTGGTCTTTATTGCGCATACGCCATGTGGTTTGGGTGTTAATTAAAGTAGTTAAGACTATGCTCAAACTTGGGCAATCCAAATGCGCACATTTCATCAATTTGATCTTTCTGTATAGAGAAGTATGAATACACTTGTATTTGATATACAAGCCCATTAAAGAGCTGTACTCTTAAATTAAATCTTTAAAACTTCAGCTTCTCTCTACTTAATTTATTGTACTGTATTCTTTTTTCACTTTCATTTGCAGTTGAGTCTTAATTTATCGACCCGGCGTTGGCTTGAATATGTACTCAATTGTCTGATTGATTTATTAAGACAGAGTTCACTGTTCAGTGGGTTAAGTGCTTGGCAGGCAGGCGGCGTTAGTTGACTGAATTGTCACATAAATTGCGTATACGCCGCATGGCCTCGCCTCGAACAAGCAACAGCAGCAGGAGCTGCAGCCGTCTGATGAATTTAATGCCGCTGGCTTGACTTGTATTCCGAAGTTGAACTGGAACAACTAAATGGCGCTAAATGCAAAGCATAGCGTAAATAAAAAGTTAAACGATGCTACTAAATAACGAGTAGGTTTGCCGGGCCAGAATCCGGCTGGAATGCACCCACGCATGCCACCAAACTGTTGCCGCAATTTGTTGCAACAACTCGGCAAAGTGGAGCATCAGCTGCTACCACACACCCACCCACGCCCACACACCCACCAGCCTGGAGCCACAGCAAACGCATACATCAAATGTGTCAAAGAGATTTGTTATGCATGACAGCGGTCTGAGCTGATCACAAAAAAATAAGGACAACTAAACACAGGCACATCTAGCTATAAAGCCGAGCTGTGCAAGATAATGCGAGCGGGGGGAGGTTTTTTTTTTATACGTAATTGAAGTTCCGCCGTGCTAATTGTGACAAATGGCAGGCAGCGGAACTTAAGCTAAAGGCCATGCCGGGCCGGGCCGGGCCAGTTCCAATGCAGTTTTATTTGATGTGAACTTGCTAAAGAATAAATTACATTTTTTACTGGAAGCTAGTGTTTCCTTAAAGAGGGCTTTATTAAACCGAAGCATATCCAAACTTCTTCAATCTGTCTTCTGTGATGTGTGAATTAGTGAGAGCAAAGCGGCTGCCTGATGTATATATACATCACAGATGTATATATGATGTATATATACATCATAGATTGTCAGTGTGTTTAGGTCTTTTCCCCCGTGCCATATCTGGTTAGTGTTTGTGTCAGAGTCCAAGGTCTGCCTAAATCAAATTGGTTTTCTTCACCACATTTAAGTACTCCTCGCGAGACACTTCGCCATCGCCGTTCAAATCAGCCTCGTCGATCATTTCCTGTAGCTCCTCGTCGGTCAGATTCTCGCCCAGTTCGGTGGCGACTCGCTTCAGATTTGCGAAGCTGATTTGACCGGTGCGATCATCATCAAAGAAGGAGAACGCCTTTAGGCTGTCCTCGATGGCATCTTTGGCGGCCATTTTCAAGCGCATCAAGTGTAAGAAATCATTAAACGCAATCCTTCCTGTCTTATCCTTATCGATCTCATCCATCATGTTTTTGATCTCCTCCTTGTTGGGCTCGAAGCCCAGTGCTCGAATGGCCACACGCAGCTCCTTCACCTCAATGAAGCCAGTGCATTCCGTATCGAACAGATCGAAAGCCTTCTTGATGTCCTGCTTCTGCTCCAGCGACAGATCGAAGGTCGGCAGCAATTTCTTGTTCTTCGCCTTGCGCGCCTTCATCATCACCGAACCCGACTGGATGGTGGCCGCCGAGACGGCGCTGCTCAGATTCAATTCCATGCTGAAGTCCTTTGCCTTTGTTCTAGCTGATTGTGTGGAGTGTTAAACTAAACCTTATTTTCAAATATTTGTATAATTATATTTTTTTTGGTGCGTATAGAGAAATATTTTAATATTTTTTTTTTAATTTTTTCGTTTTACTGTGTATATGTTCACAATCCTCGCCGTTGGAGAACTGAACTAGTTTCACAATATATATGATAAGCTGTTCGAGTCAAACTACAGCCAGTCGCCTACTTGGAGGCGTGGCATGCTAAGTTTCAGAATAGCAACTAGATAATTTAAACCTGATGTGAAATAGTAATATGTTGAAACATTTTGAATCGGATACAAATCATTTCAGCTTTAGTTTAACTTTAACTTACAAATATTTTAGTACAAGACATATTAAATATTTTCGCATTGAATTTTGTATTTCTGTTCTATAGTTGCTAAGTAAACTGTAAAGTCTCATCTCAGTTTTAAACGAAATCTTCGAGCACTGTTTTTTTTTTTTTGTAATGCCACACGTAACAAAGAAGATGTTGGCTACATCTTAGCTGTTTCATAATTCAAATTTTCCCTGAAGCAGTCATAGGACAGCTTTAAACTCAAAATTCATAAGAAAGTTATTTTAAGTCGGGGCCAGTCACTTTTGCTGGCTTTTGAGCTTCCAGGAAGTTGGGCTTATCCGCCCCAGCAGCTCACGATATTCCTTTTGACATGCTCTTAACATCGCATCATCTTTTTTAAATTTTTGTTAATATTCAAAACGTGTTTGTTTTGTAAATATATAGAAATATATTTAAAATTAATATTTTTTGAATTTTGAAAATATGAGTATAATTAATAAATATGTCATAAATTATATTATATCAACTTATGATATATAATTAATAAATACATATTGATATATTAGTACAATGTGGCATTGTTTTATTTGAAGTAAACTTGCAAATATATATAAATGTATTTGAATGATATTTTTAAAGTCAAGAATTAATTAAAATGATTAATTTAACCATAGAATGTTAATATAAAATCATTAATTACATTAAATATTATTAATAATTATTTATTGCTACATTTAACCATTATATAACTAGTTTATTTAAATTAATTCTAATTTCATAATGTTTTGAAAATATTGTATATTATTATTATACAATAGATTATTATATTATTATTACCAATATCTTAATTAAAATCTTTTACTCATTTATGCCTATTATTACTTTATTTCATTTAATTTTCTACATTATTAAATTATTCCATTATAACTTTAAAAAAAATTATGAATATGTTTAGTAAAATCTGAAATATTTCTTAATTTCTTGGCCACATTTTCTTAAAGATTCCCATTGCCACTTCTTCTTCACGCATCCAAACCTATTTAAATATATACGATTAAAACTAAAATCCTTATAAGTTTCTATTTGCCTTTGTCTATTGTCATTTCATTTTCATTTGAGACTTCGGCTGAGAATGCAACTACGCTAGTAGTGGAGTAGCTTTAGCGGCAATTTATTCATAATCTATTATGAATATTTAACAAAGTGCTTGCTCAACCTGTGCACTTGTGTATAGTGTGCTGCACACTGTATTAAACACTGGCACAGCCATGTCTCTGGATAGGCAGCAAGGTAGCACTTGGCAGCTGGCAGGTGCAATGTGTGCTCCGTGCTCTGTGTCGTGTGCCATATGCCATGTGCCAGCTGCCCAACTGTCAGTCAAAGTTCTTGCTGTTGTTGGGGCAAGTACGTGCCGCGAATTGTTTGCCTATCAAATTTGCCTGCAACAGGCCGTGCATACATACGTATACATATATACATATATATGTATATACATTGAGCAAGGCCGCTCTCAATTGGGACACGCGCAGCACGTGCCTGGCACTCGGGCTGCTCATGATTCCAATTACATAAACATAAGCATTTGCCTGCTTACCTGCGATTCGGCTGTGCCTTGGCTGCCGCCGACTCCGCCGCCAATAGAAGTCAGTGATAATTTACGATTACGTTCGCGCTCCAGTCTCATGAGTATTTGTGCGTTCTGCTCACAGGTGTAGGTGTGCGTTTTGCGGCGTCGCTCCAAGCTGTACTCGTACAGCGGACGCGCTGCGTCCGGCTGCAGTTGCGCCTCGTCGCCGGCATCGCAGCTGCAGAGCGACTGATTGCTGCGGCCCTTGGCCCGCTTCAGTGAACCACGATGCGAACTGCTGATGGAGGCAACGCGTTCGCTCACATAATCCGAGAAGGTGACCACATTGTGATTGCCGTTCATATTATTGTTCGCCTCGTAGGCATTGGCCGGCCGCAGCGCTGGCCCAACAGGTGCCACGCCCGATTTTCGCTTAGAGGGCGAGACATAGTAAATGTCATGCTCATCGAATTCTATGTTGCGCTGCTGCTGCTGCTGCTGTTGCTGTTGGTGCAGCGCTGTGGTGGCAGTGGCTGTGCTGCTGCTGGTGGTGCTGGCCACGCTGTTGCCGCCGCTGCTCAAGCTGCAGCCGGCCAAATCGGCCAGCGAGCGTTGCAGCAGCATCGGATGTGGCACACGCTCGCCGCGCAGCGAATGCTGCTTATGCAGTGATTCCAGGCGTCTCAGCTCCGTCATTTCAGTGCAAGAATCTCTCTCACTCTTTAAGCTAATATCTATAATGTGCTTTCTCTAAGCTACTCTTGCCTTTCTCTCTCTCTCTCTCTCTCTCTCTCTCTCGGTATTTCTATTCCAGCTTTCTGCTGCTCATCTTGGGGCTTATTGTCATCACTTGGCTGAGCTTAGCTGCCTGAGTCATGTTATATTCATGGCCCACTCACTCGCATTAGCATAACACTTTGTCTGCCTTGACATACATATATAAATATATGTATGTGTGTATGTATTGTTGGTAGATTTTTTAATTTTAAATGTGCCTGCCGAACTGGCAGCTAGCTAAGCCGGCTAACGATTTCCTTATGTCAATATAGCAAATTTTCAATCGGCTTTTGCCAAACCGTCCAACTGTGTCGATTCCCTTCCAGCTTCAGCTAAGCCAGCTTCCAGTTACCAGCTGCTGCTGCTCCAGTTGATGGCCCTGCTGACAGCAGTGTGTGTAGCGTCGTCTCATTGGCAGCCGCTTAGCAATTCGATTTGCCAAGGATTTTGCCTCCTCCACGCTGTCCTGCTGCGCCCTTATTCTTTCAGTTCTTTTAGGCTGTTTGTTCTGTTAATAGACTCGTCTTTCGCACTGGCTGCGCTTCTAATAACTGCAAAAAAGAGAGAAGCGAAATTTTTTGTCTGCTTTAGAATTGAGTGGCAAAATAAATGTTTGTTGTGCTCCTTTCGGATTTTCATTGTGTGCCTTATGGCCGTACAAACAGGATAAACTCAAGTGTGTGTAGCATGTGTGTATATTTGTGTGTGTGTGGGTGAGTGTATTTATTTATATATTTTCTCTCGCTTAATTGGTGTTTGGTTACGCTTAAGCCGTTAATTTGCAATGAAATTAAATCTTTGCTTTGGGGGAAGTCTTAAGATTTTGTATAAAGAATAACGAAATAAATATATAAATAAAAGAGATTAATTAAATTTTATTTTAATTGGATGACGGAAATTTGTCATTTCCAACTTAATATATAATGAAATGTGAAATACTCGGAACATATATTCTAGATATACATAAATATGCTTTACATTCAGCGGAAATTTAATGTAAATATTTTAGCTTTAAAATTTAATCAAAAATTTTCAAAATTTATTCACAAATATAAATACTTCTAGCCCACACATAGGCAGAGGTTTAGTAATGACTGCAATGGCTGCAATAAATAATTCTGTTAAATTAAAAAATATATATATGTCAACTTAATTTAGTGCCACATGAAAAATAAAAATTAACTAAATTGGAATACATGCAAAATTAAATTATATTTAACATGCATTATAATATTATCAAATGAGCAATTTCAATAAATGAGTTTGTATATTTCCCTTTTAATGTTCTAAACAAAATTTCTTTATGTAAAGAAGTGAACAAAAGTTCATTCAAAATATTTTGTTTATAGAATCATAAAAATATTTGTTCAAAATTCAAACTTATCCAAAGTTTTAGCCAAGCTTTTCTTGCGAATTCTTGTAAGTGCTATAATCGGCAAATACTTTACAAAATTGCTAACACATACAAGCTCACAGACATACACATATACATATATAACCACTTGAGTTAAACTGTTGTCAACTATTTGAACTGCGCCCTTAAAAACTTGACGCTTTACAATACTGCAAAAGAATTAACTCATTACATGCGCTCATTAAGCTATAGCTAAAGTTGATTAAGGCCTTGAAAAAACTTTTTGTTCAGGAATGTCTCGGCGCCTGTCAAGGGGGCGTGGCTGACGACAGTGCAGACAGACACAAGTCTGACAGCTTGAAGTGCCACTCGAAATATGCCCAAGACAAAATGTTTGTTGTAGTCGTCGGGCGGGAAGTAAAAGTTGCCGTGGCAAACTTCTTAAAAATACTTAAGAGGCGATAAATATCACAAAGCTCACACACATACATATAAGTATATAAATATATATAAATATATATATATAGATATGTGTGTACATTGGCACATACACACACATGATACGCTTAGGGGCTGGCAAATGTTTTGACTCTTCAAACTTTTCCTCAAGTTGCCTATTTGTTACACTTCATGTTGTTTGCTTGTCGCTGTGGTTGTTCGTTGATCGGGGGGCGTTCGCCTGCCACGCCCACACTCAATACGACAAATTTGGCATTGTTTTCGTTGCTCCAGCTCTATTGCCCCTCAGCACATTATACTCTAACGTTATTATTATGCTGCACAAAGTTGCCAATTTTGTTACGGGCTTTAAGCAAATTCCTTCTCATCCAAACTTTACAGCCCAGGCAGCTGCCTCAATTATATATATTTGAAATGGTTCTTGTTGCTTTCATTGTTGTTGTTGCTTATTAAAAACTTGCTAACGTTTGTGCAAAATGCTTTGCCATCAAATGCTGCAAATGTTTGCCTCAGCAAATGGCGTCTCAATTTTTGCTTTCGAATCGTGGCTAGAAAAAGTCAAAAAGTTGCTGCAGGTTGTAACTGACTGCGCAATACTCTGTTTGCAGCATGAGAATGGAATGTAAAAAGCATACAAAGTTGGATTGCTTAGAAAATGAAAATATATAATATTTGTCTCTCGGGCTCTATGCTCTAGACTCAAGGATCTATGCTCTAGGCTCTAGGCTCAAGGCTCTAGGCTCTAGGCGCTATGCTCTAGGCTATATGCTCAAGGCTCTAGACTCAAAGCACTATGCTCTATGCTCTAGACTCATGGATCTATGCTCTAGGCTCAAGGCACTATGCTCTAGGCTCTAGGCTTTTGACTCTAGGCTCTAGGCACTATGCTCTAGGGCCTAGAGGCACTATGCTCTAGGGCCTAGAGTCTAGGCTCTAGGCTCAACGCTCAAGGTTCTAGGTTCAAGGCTCTGGGCTCAAGGATCTATGCTCTAGACTCAAGGCTCAAGGTTCTAGGTTCAAGGTTCAAGGCTCTAGGCTCTAGGCACTATGCTTTAGGGCCTAGAGGCACTATGCTCTAGGGCCTAGAGTCTAGGCTCTAGGCTCAAGGCTCAAGGCTCAAGGTTCTATGTTCAAGGCTCTAGGCTCTAGGCATTATGCGCTTGACTCATCCTACATCCTCTTTTCCAGCACTTGCTTTAAATATCTTCGTCAAAAATTTGCTCAGATTTTGTTCTTTAATCAGGATTATTTACAACTAAGCTTTCAATCTTGTTCCTCTCTATGCTCCTAGCTTGCAGTTCCTCAACTTTAAACATTTTATTTAAAATCAATCTAACACTCTTTTATATACCAAATACAGTGTATAAAAGAAGCTCATGAAAATTCGCACAAAATTCACATAAATTCTGATGAATTTGTCTGTCAATCAATAAAGGTAACAGCCAAGCCACACGCAATTTCGTTGTGTGCTTTCTCGAAATTAAAAACAGAAATGGCAAAGAACGTGGCAAAAATAAAGTGAAACTGGCAGATATCCTGCAAGAAAAGTTAGATGTAAAAAACATAAATAAATAAAAAGATATAGAAATATAATAAAAATTAAAATAAATATAAATACCGATAAATAAATATTATAAAAAATTGTTTCTGAATGAAATAAGTTATATGAGCGAATATTAAGTATACGTAATATATACGTATATAAATATGAGAATCTGAGTATTTGCTAAGAATATCTAAATGTCTTCTTGACGACTCTCGCCTTGAACAAACTGTCTTTAAAATCCAACTCATGCCAGCCCGTCTACTTATAGAGGGTATAGAGGCTTTGGGTGCCGCTTGAAGCATCTATAATCAATAAAAAATTGCAGCTGACAGCTGTTGACAGGCGCAGGCTGAGACTTGGAGCCGTCTGACTTAGTCTGGCTTTGACGCACGCTTTTCTAATAATAATAATAAAAATACATGCTTTTCTGGCTTGGAATTTTATTTGGAAGCTCTTAAAAGCGCATAAATTCTTCAAATATAAAACAACAAAATACAGAGGAATAAAAAGAAATAAAATATACAAATATTTTTGCGCATATCATGTGGGCAAAGTTAATGTTGCGCCTAGTTTATTGCAGCACTAATTTGGATTAATTAATTTTGGCATTGATTTTGCACAAAAGCTGGCGAAATGTACGCTGGGGTCAGGTTCAAAAGGGTTTTATATGTCAGGTCATAAAGTCTAAGTGGGCACAGTGTATTACAAGAGAGTCGCGTGGTGAAGGACGTTGGCGGCCCACGCCAATGAAAATCTAATTTAGAGGAACACGCACACAAAGAAGCCCCAAGCAAAAAAGGAAATGATGGTGGGGGTGACCGTTAAGAGGGTTAGCTTCGGCTGCGTCGCATACACAAATGATACATGAGCTCATGGCAGCAGTAAAAGCTTCGGTTCGCCTTTCATTTGCGTTTAAAGACCCAAAAAGACTTCCGCCTGCAGTCGCCCTACAAATTAACATGGCCCCAATCTGTGATTCTCCCTACGTGTATGCGTGTATGTGGGTGTGTGTGCGTGTGTGCGTGTGTGTCCCGGCGAGCGCATGAATTATGACGAAGCCAGCTGCAGACTTAATGGAAAAAGCTCCACCACAGGCTCAGTCGGAGCCCAAGCGCACGCAAGGCGTAAATTAGAAAAAAGTAAATTTCCTATAGCATACTTATTTGGGAGCGCACGCTGCGTATGTGTAATAAGTTGTTGTTGTACGCCACCAGGCTTTCCAGCCCCACAGACACCAAATTGGACACGATCCCTGGCTCTGGATTTGCTTAGAAACTTCGCAGGGCCCCCACGAGTTTCTGCTTCTCTGGGCACTTTTAATTTTTGACACGTTCCGCAGAATAGCGAAACAAGAAGAGAATAAAACACGTGTTCTTTGACATTGAGCAAAACAGACAAGGCCTAACAACTGGCAAATACAATACAGCAAAGATATATGTATCTATATATAAATATATATACATTTCGTATATATGTATGTGCTTTATATATATTTTAAAATTCCAGTAGGCAGCGCGTATAATGAGTTTTCTGGTCGTAAATACATTCGCCAGCCCGTAGATACGCGTACACTCGCTTATAGAAGTATGCGCCCATAGGTGGGCTATAAAATTTGTTTAACACCAATGCGCCGCACGCACTCACGCCAATCAAATTTATTTCATTACATATACATGCACGAATGTATATGTATGTATATACAAAAATAAAATAAAAAGTAAATATATATTTTCTTATACTGTTGCGAGTTTTATGACAAAGCAGCGAATTAATGAAATTTTTGCAATAAATCATTGGGAAAACGAATAAAAACGTGCAGCGTATAAATGTATTACATATGACATATATATATACCTATATATATTTATTAGCTATAAATGTAAGAAATAAATATGAAAAAAAAAAGAATAAATAAATAAATAAACGAACATGTAAATATTATAAAGTTGTAAAAAGTCAACCTTAAAAATTAATGAACTCTTATTTCGTTAATTAAAAATATTCCTTAATATTTTTCCACATTGAGTCCCATGAAAATGGAGATCAGGACACAATGGGATAGCTGCATAATTAATTTGTATAATTTAAATGAGCTGGAACCCTAAAAAAGTAAAAATATCCCTGATCAGGGCGACGTCTGACCGTCCGTTCATCCCTTTGTGCCTCTGTCTGTATCTGTGAACCGCTCAGACTGAGTTTGTTTTACAAAAATTTCTAACATATATCGATAAAAACAACCTTTTAAAATCAATATATGTATAATAAATCAGTTTTAAATATTTGAGTCTTCAAATTTTGTATATAGATTCATCTGTATTTTATAGGACTTTAATTTTTGTTATATTAATTAAATAACAAAAATTTTATTTATATCGCATGAGCATTTCATCTAATTTTTCCCCCTCTACATAAATAATTTAAATATCTGCTTTATTTATCTATTTATTTGTTCTCATAGTCAGCGAATATTTATGCCAGAATTTTTTAGGATTGTTTTTAATATTTTTCATTTCTTAGACTCTTAGAGTCAAGTCAATTTGATTGCTATGACTGCAGTTGCTTTTCCCTATTGAGTACATTTTTATTTAATATATAATGCTACAATAGCAATCATTTATTTCAAAAATCCTTCTTTAACAGCTTACCAAAACTCATGTTGGATTTGGTTTCTTTCAACCCTTATAGTTCCTCGGGCATTCCTTTTCATAATTCAGCAATCAAACCCATAAATAAGCAAATAATCAATTTCTACAAAATGCCTCGTAAAATACCTTGAAAAATACCTTACAACAATTTCCTGCCATAAATTTTCTAATAATTCTTTTGCCTTGAACATATTTTCTGCCATTGCACACACTTTCCAAATTCTTTTCTGTGTAGTTTGCCAAAACATTCTCGCACTTATTTAACCAAACAGTCAAGCATAAGCCAGGGCAGACACCAGACACATTCCAAAACTCTTATGCCCAATGCCGCTCCCACACCCATTGCTATTCCCACTCCCATTGCAATTTCAATTCCTAGTCCGAAAATCCATTCGCAAGTCATATTTTCTGGTCACCAAGTGCGTTGACTGCACTTTTGGTGGGCGCGCATAAAACTTTCGCTGCGGCCCCTGTCCCAGCAACCACCACAGTCTCTAGGCGCCACTGAAAACAGTGAACTGTGCAAAAGTGGAACTAGTTCTGGAATATATCCCAAAACTGTTTCTCTCTCCCTAGCTCTGTCTCGTTCTCTCCTGCTCGCTTGTAATTCCGCTTGCATCCGTTTCTAAAAAGTTGTGACCAAATTCAAGTGGCTGGAGCCAGAGGCTTTTAGCTGACTTAACACCAGCGTGGAGGACATACACTCAAATATATTGTGCCATCTCCCTCTGACGCCGGTTCCAGCCCTTAGTAGCCTCATAAAGCTCGAGCTTAAGCATGTCGGTCCAAAAAAGGGTTTCCGGCTTTGACTTTGGCCAAAAAATTTGCACAAAAAGCGCCCACATGAAAATTGTGCGTATTTCTGCGCGTGTATGGGTGGGTGTTTGGGCGGTTGAGTGGGTCAAGAACAGAAGTTAACAATGGCGCTCTCGTGACTTTAAATAAAGAAATAACTTGTGCATAGTTCAAGTCAAACAATGCGCGACGCAGCGCCAAGAATTTAACATGGATACGCTTTTATATATTGCTCTATGGCTACGGTGTGGGCGTGGCCGTTGCCGTTGCCTTTCTAACAATGCGCGGCAGTCTTTGTACAAGTTTTGCATTTTTATTCTCTATTTTTATACTCTATTTCAGTCTTGTCTCCGTCCCTCTCTCTCTCTCTCCCGCTCTCAATTTTTTTTTTTTTTTTTTTTTTTGACAGGCAGCGCCAAAAGTTTAGCACTTAATATTTTCTTTACTTCTTAGCTTGTGTCTTTGGCTTCTTGTGATGGCCTTATTGGCCAGAGCCGTTAACGCTAGCTGGCTATAAAACATTGTTGTTCTTCATCTTTTGCTCATCTTCTTCTTCTTGTTCTACTTATTTATGGCTGCCACGCATTTTAGCTGCATTTCTTACTTATTTACGTACCTTGCACTTCCGCTACAGTTGCCTTCCGTGCCACGCATTTGTTTTTGCACCCAGCCAAAGGAAAACGCACTGCAATAGAGAAAGCATAATATATTTTTAATAAAGAGCTTTCCAGTAATGGATAGTGAATCGGAGTTGGAGTCTGTGTGTATTCGTGTGTATCCTGTGTGTGTGTGTGTGTGTGTGTGTGTGAGCGCGTGCTTTTTTCTGGTATTTGCTTTATCAATATTATGCCAGCTGCAATTTTACATTACAATTTTAAATGTATATTCAGGGAGACAGAGTTAAAATAAAATAAAAAAAAAATATTTTTAAAATATATTTTTCCTTATTCAAAAAGTACGAGCTTTTTATATTTACTTTTTTGACTATGATACTGAAGTCTATCTAATATTAATAATATTATCTAATATTAAGTATTATGGTTAAGTATTATGGCTATCACGTGTAAGTAGTTTTATTTTAACATTCTTCATAATTGAGTAAATTTTTATAAAAATATATATTTAAATTAATTTTTAATGTAATTTATATAAAATGAAATTAGAAGTATCATACATTTTAAATTATAATATTTAAAAAACTATTTTGATTAAAAATGCAAAATTAAAAATTAAATTGTATATTTATATTGTATATTGTATTACATTATTATTATATATTATATTATATTGTATATTTTTATTTTTTTCTGTTCTGGTTAATAAAGGTTTTTTATGATCAATAGAATATTTTTTATTTATTGCAATTTAAGCAAAAGTACATTCCTCTTATTCATAAAAGTTACTTGATATAAGCTTTGGTTTCCTGAACACGAAATTATAATTTTATAGTATTCTATTCTTTTTATACCCTGAACCCATTGAAAATGGGAAATCAGGGTATAATGGTTTCGTGAAAAAGTATGTAACGGACAGAAGGAGGCGTGGCAGACCCCACAAAGTATATATATTCTTGATCTTGATCGCGACGAGCTGAGTCGATATAGCACTGTCCGTCTGTCCGTCCGTATGAGTGCGTCGATCTCAGAAGTACCAAGGGCTAGAGAGCTGAAATTTGGCATGCATACTCGTGTGTATCATACGCAGTACGAGTTTGCTTTATTTTTTCGATAAATCATCCGATAACTTTTTTATCGAGAATAATCGAAAAATTGATTTTGTTATTTCAGCCTCATTGGAATACTATTAGACCTGGAGACTTCAGATTTACTGTGTATATACATATGAAGAATACAAACATTTTGTAATTTACAGATTTTGGATACCACGCCCCCTTCGCCACCAATTTGTAATTTGCATTTCATATACTAGAGACTTCTGCTTTGAAATGTACATACATTTGAACATTGTGATTAGGTTCTGAAAGTTTCATTAAGATTGTACGTCTAGAAATTAAATTATTCAACAAATAATTTAGTATAATATTGCCCGCATTGCAATGCATTGCAGCGCAGCCCAAGCGCATCGCGCCGTCAACAGAGCGCGTTCTTATACGTGCGTCTGGATGCATGTGTATGTACGTGTGCATAGAAGAAGTGCAGAGTGATTAGAATATCAGCTTGGAAGGTTCAGGGTATCTGCTAGTCGAGCAGTCTCGACTACAGCCTTCTTACTTGTTTTTATAGTCATATTATCAGCTGTTCCTTTATATAGTCATATGTTAAAAAATAATAAATAAAATTTATAAAATATTTGTTTTTTTTTTTATATATATATTCGATTCAGAGGTTTATTAGAGACTAAAACATACAAATGAATATATGCTGCAGCGCAGGCAGCCGAAAATGAACTTAAAGCATACACGAAAGAATCTCCGTTACAATTAACAGAACTTAACATGAGAATAATGTTAGACAAAGAAATAGACACAGCGGTGCTTACATACATAATTTTAACACTCCTTCTCAACGCGATGTCTATTTACAAAAATGTTTCATTTTAAACCTAACATTTCAGTAAATTTCTCATGTTTGACTTTACATAAATTCTTCGTCAATACATCTGCTTTCATTTCATCTGTGGGAATGTACTTTATATCAATAACTTTATTTTTGTACATTTCCCTTACAAAATGGTATTTTATTTCAATATGCTTGCTACGTGAATGATATTTAGCATCTTTAGCAAGGCATTGTGCGCTCTGATTATCACTGTAAATCAGAACCTTTGTCATCGGCCCGAGTCCCATTTCGTCGACCAGTTTTCTAACGTATACCGCCTCCTTGGCTGCTGTAGAAAGTGCCACGTACTCGGCCTCTGTGCTACTGAGGGCGACCAAATTCTGCTTCTTGGACTCCCAAGAGACTGCTGCTCCAGCAAGGTAGAATGACCAACCCGTAAACGACTTCCGATCGTTACTGTCGCCAGCCCAGTCCGCATCAACAAAACAGTGTATAGGCACACCCGTTTTGTTATAGTGTAGTCTCAACTCTGAGGTACCTTTTAGATATCTCAACACCCGCTTGGCAGCCACCTCATGCTCCTTGTGCGGATCTTCATTTCTCTGCGCCAGCTTAGCCACAGAGTGTATTATATCTGGCCGTGTAGTCAACGCCAAATACAATAACGAACCAATGAGCGATTGATAGCGTGTTTTATCCACCTGGCCGCAGTCAACATCATCGCACTTCGTCTGGAACCCAGTTTCCAACGGAGTCGCGCTTGGCTTGCAGTCTTGCATGCCGTAATCCTTCAGCAGATCTTCAATGTACTGCCTATGGCCTATGGAGAGACTACCAGTCTTGCCATCTCGCTCAATCTCCATCCCCAGAAAGTAGTGTAGCTCACCACCATCGACCACGTCGAATTTGCTTGATATGAGCTGCTTAATGTGGGCCACATCTTCTTCTCTGGTACATGCAAGTATAAAATCGTCAACATATACAACAATAATATTCAAATACCCTTTGATCTTGCTTGTATAAATGCACGGTTCACTTGCACATGGGACGAAACCAATCTCCAATAGAGTGCTCTCCAGCTTTTGGTTCCACTCCCGACCGCTCTGTTTCAAGCCGTACAACGACTTCTTCAGCTTCAGTACGCGCTTGGGATGAGTAGCGTCGACAAAGCCCTCTGGTTGTCGCATATACACGTCATCGTGTAGCTCGCTGTTCAGGTATGCTGCAGAAACACCCATCTGATGCAGATGCATCTCGTGCTCGACAGCCAACGCAATCACCAATCTGATTGAGGAGTAACGTGCCACTGGAGAGAACGTTCCCATGTAGTTAACTCCGTATTGCTGTCCGCACCCTTTTGCGACCAATCTAGCTTTAAATCGCTGAACGTTGCCATACTCATCACGCTTGGTGGTAAAAACCCATTTACAACCAATAGCCTTTTCGCCTGCTGGAAGATCGACCAGACTCCATGTCTCAGTGTTCTTCAGGCTATCATACTCCTTCTGCATCGCCGATCTCCAGTTTTCAGATTGCTCTGACTGAAATGCATCCCTAACACATGTGGGAACAACAACATTTCGAGCATCCAGTACATTCAGAACATTGTACTCTTTTCGTGGACGACCTGTACGCCCAGTGCGAACAATTCGTGGTCTCCCTGGACCTCTTTTACCTGTCACCTGCTCATCCTCAGCATCTTCTTCGTCACCACTTTGACACTGCCCATCAACTGTTGGACTTTGCTGCTGCTCATCAGGATCGTGACTTTCTTCATCTTGCTCGCAATCAACTTTTTCATCTGGCTCAAGGATTAGCACATCTGACTTACGAGATGATCCTTGATCGTGCTCCAATCCCGTCCTGAACTTGTGCTCTAAAAACACAACGTCTCGGGATAACACAACGCTTCTTTTGACAGGGTTGTACAGACGATAAGCTTTGGCAGTCTCAGAATAACCTACCAGCATATGCTGCTCGCCTTTTGCTGAAAACTTGTTTTTATGCTTTTTATTTAATACAATAGCCTCCATACCAAATACTTTTAAATGGGATACGCTCGGTTTTTTCCCATACCAATCCTCATATGGAGTTTTGCCAATCAAAGCCGCAGTTTCAGCCCTGTTGCGAAGATACGCAGCCGTCATTATCGCCTCGCCCCAAAAAGATTCACTAACTCCAGCATGCACCATCATACTTCGCGCCATTTCCACCAGTGTTCTGTTGGCGCGCTCCGCCACACCATTTTGTTGTGGAGTGTGGGGAACAGTTAGTTGTCTTTTTATACCATGGCTCGATAAGAACTTTTCAAATGTACCGCTCAGGTACTCACGGCCGTTGTCGCTTCTTATAGCCTTTATGCGTTTGCCAGTCTGATTTTCAGCCAACTTCTTAAAGTCTTTGAATTTCTCAAATACATCACTTTTATTCTTTAACATGTACACCGACATATAGCGCGATTTATCGTCAATAAACGTTGCAAAATAGCGCGCTCCACCTTGTGATGCCATACGCATGGGTCCACATATGTCTGTATGAACTAACGCTAGTAATTCTTTTGAGCGATTTTCTGACACTTTGGGAAACCTTTTCACGCAAATCTTACTTTTTGCACACGTTTCGCACACAAAGTCATTTGTATTACACACACTAGCCGGAAGTCCATGAACCATGCCCTGTTTGATCATTTTATTTAGGCTATCAAAATTCAGATGCCCGAACCGATCATGCCATTTCACCAATTGATTCACATTTGCATTTACATTAGCTGCAACTACTGTGTTCATGCTACTTTCAAACAAAAACAAATCATTATGTTTTTCTGCAACTAGCCAGTTTTCATTGTTACTGTCTTTAACAAACACTTTGTTTTTCACAAAAATTACTTTTAACCCTTTTTCAGTTGCCTTTGACACAGATATAAAGTTGCATTGTAAGTCTCTCGCATATAAAACGTCGCGCAATTCGATCGTATTATTTCTCCACTTAAGCAACACTGTCCCGCAACACTCGGTTTCTATGTAATTATCGTCTGCTAGTTTTATTTTCTCTTTGTGCTCACGCATATGTATAAACATTGATTTGTCCGCGCACAAATGAGCTGTAGCACCACTGTCCACGCACCAGACAGTTTTTGTCAACTGGATTTTTCTAGAAAAAGAGAACA